ACACACACACACACACACACACACACACACACACACAGAGCAGAACATTTGTTATGTTTTGAATAAATGATTAAAGAAACTTCTATTATTATTACCACCAATAATACTCACTAAGTGCCAGCCAACACTTACCATGTGCCAGGCACTGTCTAAGAGCTTATTTAATCTTCATTACAACCTAATAAAGGAGGTAATATCATTTTCTCTGTTGTACAGAAGAGGAAAATGAGGCTGAGTAACTAAGCAACTCCCCCAAGGTCACACAGCAGGAAGCAGACCTGGGTGGCCAGGATCAAAGTCCACACTCTGAACCATTCTAGTGGTGTACCTGCTGTCTGCGATGGCAGTGAGACATCCGACAGACTGACCTCCCCACCCTAGAGTTCAAACACTGGAAGAGGAGATAGTCACTGAAGCAAGAAATCAGAAAGCTACACCATGAGTTACAAAGTGATAAAAGTATGGGGGGAAATACAGCGAGGAAGCAGACAGGGAGTCTGGGGGCTGCGATTTTAAGTGGGTGACCAGGGACGGCTTCACAAATATGACCTTTGAGCAAAGACTGGAAGGAGGTGAGGGAGGGAACATAGAGGTGGGTCAGAGCCAGCATTCCCTGAAAGGAACTGCCAGTGTGTGTGTGAGAGAGTGTGTGTGTGTGTGTGTGTGTGTGTGTGTGTGTGTGTGTGTGTGAGATCTGGGTAAACAGAGGATCCCAACCCAGTGCAGGGGGGACTGAGAAAGCCAAGCCCAGTGGGCTGCAGGAGCCCCCAAGGACACACCAAGGTAGCCTGAGAAGGTGGAATGGGGGCTTTCTGGAGGTGACGCTGGAGAATCACTAAACCTTGATACAACAATGGGTTGGAGTTAGGCAGGACAAGACAGCAATAAGAAGCAGAGGTTGGAGGGTAAGGCGGGAAGGGTGCCCAGGCAGAAGGCACAGCAGGGACAAAGGCCCAAAGGCAAGAAGCAGTCTGGTCTGCCAAGAAAGTACAAGCCAGTTGGAGCTACGGAAGCACAAAGGGTGAGGGACATGGGGATGCAAATGGCTGAACAGGGCACTAGGGGTGGACCACGAAGGGTCTCGTACCAGGCTGAGGGGTGGGGCTTTGTCCTAAGGGTGCTGGGGAGCCACTGGAGGACTCTGAGCAGGGAAGAGGCAGGGGCAGGTGCAGGGAGACCCCTAAGGCTTGGGGGGTTCAGACTGGAGGGAACAGGCTGGGAGCTCAAGAGATTGGGGCGAGGGTCCAGGTGGGAGAAGATGAGCCCTGAACGCTGGGGCCCTGAGGATGGAGAAGAGGAGACAGGGGAGGGAGGTGGAGAGGGCAGGAGAGACAGGGCTGGAAGCTGATGTGCTATGGGAGGTGAGGGGAAGCGGGGTGCCTGGGGTCTGACCTGGTATTTAGGTAGTTGGCAGTGTTCAGATGATTTATTAATTTATTTGATGATCCACAAAGGACATCACAGACACATCCAGCAAGACAGGATGCAATGGAGGGGGCCCAGGAGCACTGTGGGAGGGGCAGGCAGCATGCCCGCTTCAGGAAAGGACAGGGACTAACACAAGGACATCCTCTTCCTCTCATGGGGCACACACACCGCAGGCACTCATGTGCCAGGCCCTGTGCTGGGTGATACTGGGACCCAGAGCTGACTCAAATGCGGGCCTGCCTTGTCGGGGAGACAGATACAACTACAGACGCCTCAGGTCAGGGACCAGTGCTGGGGCTGGATCAGGGCTGACACCGGCCCAGGGGGCTATGGTGCCTAAAGGAACAGAGGTGGGAGGAAACCAGGAGAGTCAGGTCCAAAGACCCCAAGAGGAGCATATCTCAAAAAGCCTGAAGGCAGCACCCCTGCCATATGCTGCCAGAGCTGTCACGAGGCCGAGTGGCTGCTGAGTGGAGACGGGAGGAGCATAGACTAGAGCCGGACTTGCCTGCATTTCAGTGCCGACTGCCCCTGCCTAGCTGGATGACCTGGCAAGTAACAGAACCTCCACGGGCCTCAGTTTCCTCACCTGTCCAACAGGATTAATCATATCTAGATATGGAAAGGGCTGAATGGGTTAATTTCAGTCAAGGACTTAGAACGCTGCCTGGTGAACAGTTAAGTACTCACTAAATGTGAGCTGTTACAATCACTGAAATTTTTATGCCAGGGCCTGGTTCCTGGGCCCTCGTCCCCACCACATAGTCCACCCTGGCAGGGGCCAGTTTCACCCACGAGGCCTCCAACCTTCCAGGCCTTGTTCTGGGCAAGGCTGGGGACCTAAGAGGCAGGCTCCCAGTCCAGGAGGGGGCAGACATGGATGGACAGTCACCCCCTTGTTTGGTTTAGGCCAGCTACTGACAAAGTGGCCTGTGAGACTGTCTCTTTCACATCTCTGCACACACGAGTTTCTCCCCTAGACACGAGAAAACCTCTCAGACATTGTGCCCCCCTCTCTCACAGGGAGGGCGACAGCTCTCCCACAATCACCTGACTGGGGTTCTCCTCTCCCGAACACTTGTCCCTCCCTGTCTAGCTGGGGCCTCCTCACTCACCCTGTAACTATGTAGGGTGAAAGACAGCTTCTGGATTCTCTCAGCGCCCTGTCACCCCAGACACCTGAGGCCAGGGACCAGGGCTAGAGCAGGTTTCCTGTACTGTAATAGTCGACGGAGTTTGCAATGCAGCCTAGTTGGTGAAAGCGTGGCTTGTGTGCAAAGCTCTCGCTGGGGTGAGGAGTTAGACGGAATCTCGGCTCTGCCCCTTCCCAGCTGAGTGACCTCTCTGTGCCTCAGTTTCTCTGTGTGTTAAACAGGGACCATGACTCCTCCAGAAAGTAAGAAATACAGAAGGTAACTCGTCCTGCAAGCAATTATTAAGACAGTGAGTCCAGAGCTGGGGGAAGGGCACGAAGTCATAACCCTAGACGTACCAGGTTTGAGTGAGGAGCGATCGGGTGTCAGAACCTCACAGTCCTTGATCTTTGCCCTCAGATGTGACTTTGACGTTTGGGGGAAGAGCAGCAGAGATCAGAGGTTACAAGAGGACCCCCCCATACAGTGCGCACTCGTGATCCCAGAAGCACACGGCCGCGGGGCACAGGGATGAGGGAGAGGGGGCCCGGTCACCTTCACGGCGAAGTCTATGACCCTCTTGACAGCAACGAGCGCACGCAGCTCCGCCATCTTCCTGCCTCAGCCACCTGCGGGGTCAGGCCGCAACTTCAGCCTCCGGGTCCCGAAGACCCGCCTCCGTCCTTTTCTCCGCATGCGTCCTGCACCTCCAGCCAGTCAACCGTTGCGGTGGCCGCCTCCGCCCCGACAGAGGACCAATCGGAAGGCCGGAGTGAACATATGGTGACCAATGGGAGGCCGATCTCGGGAGAGAGGCGGAGCCTGGAGAGGAATGGACACGGGCTGCGGGAAGGGGGCGTGGCCGGGAAGTAGGGGAAGGGTCGTTCCAGGGAGCGAGGCGCTTCTCCGAGTGCAACTCCTCTTAATCGTCCTAAACCTTGCCCAACGTCCTCGGATCTACCCCTTCCCCCAGTTCCTTGCCTCTTCCTCGCCTTATCAAGTCTCAGTGCCGGCGTCCCCACGCCCACCCAGTGCCAGTGCTCCCACGCCTCTGAGTCCTCCTGTGTCTGTCTCATTTTCTCCGTGTCCATGTCCCTCCATCCTCTCCATGCGCCCGTCCCCTCCTGACCCTACTCCCCCGTGTCCCCGTTGCCCTTCACATCCATGTCCCTGGCCCACTCCATGTTCCTGTCTTTATGCCCATGTCCTCCAGGTCTCCATGTTCCCTATAGGTGCATGTCCTTCTGTCCTCCCTGAGACTCCATGTACCCCCGTGTCTGAGTCCCCCGTGCCCTTCCTGTTTGTGTTCCCATATCTGTTCATGCCGCCTGGATCCACGTCCTCACGTCCCCCAGAAAGGCAGGCGGAGCCGCGGCGGTGGAAGCCGTTTCTTTATTCTGCCCCAGGCAGGCTGCGGTCACAAGCACACGGGGAACCCACTAATAGCATCTGTGCTCTGCAAGATCATGTCCGCCAGCAGAAAGCAGAAGCCTAACGGGAGGGGAACGGAAGACGGGTAGAGGACGGTGGGTCGTGGGGAGAATGGCCGGGAGGGCCCCGGAGCCTGGGGTTTGGAGCTCCAGAGCGTCTCTGCCGGGTCTGCAGGAGTCGGGAGTGGAGTGTGTTGGGGAGTCCTTGAGAGGTCAAAGTGGGGTTTCCTGGGAGGGCGGCTAGGGAGTCTCTGCGTGGAGGGGGTGTCCCCTGGACGGTCTCCTTCACCCTCTTCCCGCTGTCCAAGTTACCCGCGAGAAATGCGAAGGGTAAAGCCAGCCACCCCGAAAAATAGGACCAGGAGAAGAAGACGTCGTTTTTCCATGCATTCTTCACCGTGTAGCCTGTCAAGGCGATCAGCAGCAGCAGGCCTGGGCACCGCCCACCCGCCGGGTGAGCTTGGCCAGGGGGACTGCATGCTGCACGCAGGCCCCACCCAGACCGCGCCCACCGTCCCGGGCCAAGCGCCTTCGGGACCGACCGCCCCGCTCGAACAGGCCACGCCTATCTCCTTCCAGGCTCCGCCCCGCCCTGCCCCCTCCTCTGGGTCTCCAGCCCCTTTCCTCCGCTGGGTTCTCCAAGGCCCATCCTGAGCCTGGGGGCTCGCTGCCGTCTCACCGCAGAGGAAGAAGATAGCGCTTGTGGTCTGGCCCCGCGAGTCCCCCTCGTGGCAGAGAATCCGCAGCCCCATCACCGAGCCCACGATGCCGGAGCCCGTCGCCAGCACCATGCACGCCCCTGTCACCGCCAGCATGGCTGGGGAGAGCCGGCCACCTCAGCCCCGCGCTAGCGCGGCCCCTGGCCACTGCCCCCACCCTCCAGTATGGGGCTGGGAGAAGAGTCAGGGATTTGGATAGGGACTTGGTAGTTGTCATGAGGGGTTGTGAAGTTAGTGGTGGCCTCGGTCACGGAGGGAAAGCTATAATAGATCTGAAACTGGAGTGGAAGGAATGGGGTAGGGGCGCTGCAGGATATTCCCAGCTCTTGTGCTGGGCGAGGGAGCCAGCTGTGGTCTGTGCGGTGGGAGTCCGGGCTGGGCCTCACTCTGGCAGGGGATGTTAGAGCAGATCCTGCCTTTACACTCCTGCCACAGGCCACTGTGGCCCCGGGGGAAGCGGATCCAATAGTTGGTGGCAGTGGAGAGAATCATGAGAATATTGGCCAAGAAGCCCAGCAGGGTGCCCCCGCTCTGAAGGCTCCTCTTCACCCCCATGCCAGGGAGGCTGCTGCGGGGGTCCACACACGCGGTATTGGCCAACATCCCTTCCATCCCCAGGCCCATATCCCAGTTCCTTCAAGTACCTGAGACCCCCTCCCACAAATCTCTCCATGTCCCAGCCCTGCCTGGGGCCCCTGCTTCTGGGGACCTGAAGATGCCTCCCCTCAGTTGCTCTCATGCTGCGGGCCCCTCCCCCAGCACCCCTGACTGGAGACTTGGAGACCGTCCCTCCCATGAGTCACTGCTTAGGAATCTCCCTGTCTTCCAGAGACCTCCATCCCCCAGTGGAATGCCCCTTTGGCCTGTCCAGTGCCCTGCCACACACACACACCCACCTAAGAGACTCACATCCAGCTCCCAGAGCTTCTTAGACACAGAACCCAGAGGGGTGGGGGAAGGGAGACTGGGCATCTATGATGCAACGAGTTACAGAACCCCGCTCCTGGCTGCCATTTAAAGAGACAGCCACCCACTCACTCATACACACACACACACACACACACACACACACACACACACACACACAGGCAGCAAAGTGACAGGGCTTAGAGTCAGATGGCAGGTCTGGGGGGGAGCCTGAGGGCCATGAAGTGGTAGGCCATGTCCTTCTAGAAACGCCTCTGTCTTTTACCCCATAAGCACTCCTGGTCCCCAGCTCTGACTATGCCTCCCAGGCCCCCACACAGGCTCCTGCTCCTCCTGATCCCTCCGCTTCCCAATGCCCGTCTTCCTGGGGGCTCCTTCCTGCACCTTCTACCAGGTGAGCTTCCACAGCTCCAGTGGCCACAATGCTCTGATAGGACCCCAAACTCCAGTTCAGGTCTCTCTCCCAAGCCTTAACCTGGCCTGCTCGTGGCCGTCTCCCAGACCCCAGGCACTCAACCACCTCCCACCTGACTCAGCGTCTTCCACCAAACCAGGGATGACCTCACTGTCCCACCCCTGGGCACTCTCCGTGCCCTTTCTCTGCTCCTTACCCCACAAAGCCCTTGGATCCCCAAGTCCGGCTCCTCCTGCCCTATGAATCTTTCTGGCTCCTTCCCTCCTTTGCATCGCATGCCCTGATCCCAGTCAGGCCTTGTCCTGCCTCATGCTGCACCTGTTATTATACATTGCCAAGCTGCTCTCTCCCTTTCTTCCCCACCCTGCCCCCCGCCACCCCCTCATGCCCCAGAGAGGGCTTTCTGGCACCTGGAGCTGATGCTGCCCTTCCCCTACTCACACCGTGGCTTCCCACTCCCCTCAGGAAAGAGCCAGTTGTGGCCATGAAGGGTCCTGGTCCCCCCCTCCAGCTCTCCATCCTCATTTTCCACCAGCCCCACATCCTGCATTTCAGCCACAAAGCAATGTTCTTCATCCTCGGAACACTTCCGGCCTTTTCATGCTCCTCCTTGGGATCCTTCTGCCTGGACTACCTACCTTTCCTTGGCCCTCCACAAGTCCCTATGCACCCTCTCCCCAGTAAGCTCGCCACCACCCCTCACAACAGGGTCAGCCTCTGTCCTGTGCCCTCCCTGGGCTCTTCCTGGCATCCTGACTGTATTAACAGCCTCCCCTCACTGGACTTGCAGCCCCCAGTGGGCAGGGCCCAGGCCTGACTCATGTCAGCGGCCCCAGTGAGGCCTGGCAGAAAGGATGGGCTTGGGAAACGCCAGCAGAAGGAGTGAATGAATTAATGAAATGAGCAAGGAGGACTAGAGTGAAGGTGAGGTGACAAAGTCAGAGAGGTAGTGAGAAGGAAAGAGTGCTCAAGTGAAACAGAGGAGAAAAGAGAAAGAAAGATGAAGAAAAGAGACAGAAACGGAGAAAGACAAGAGCCAGAGAAGGGGAGAGAAACACGTGGGGCAGTGCCTGAGTCCGCACTGGGCCCCGCACCGGGTGGGAGCCCCCGGAGAGCATATCGAGGGTCTGACTCTATTCTGGGTACCCAGTATCGCCCATCATGGAGCCAGTGTGCCGTCGGCGTATGTTGTGGTTCAATGAATCTCAGAATAACAAGCTTCCACCAATTTTTGTTGACTGAGTGAAGAAACAAATGGGGCTGTGAAAGTGCTGGAGGTGAAGGCCGAGGGAGGGTCAGGTGTTCCCATGTCTCCCGATGATGCTTTCAGAGAAGGACGCGCCAAACCCATCTTGCTGTCCTCGCCTGCGCCTCACATGGTTTCGTAGCCAGGCCGGGGGGCATTGCAGTGAGCACCTAGACTCAGGCCACCTGGGGTTGCAGAGGAGGTTAGCACTTATTCCCACCCTGCTTCCTCAGAGCCCCCCAGCTGGCCCTCCCAAGCTCCCCAGGCAGCAGTCACCTGCACTGAGAAAGAAGAGACCGGAAACCCAGCCCAGGTAGAAGGACCAGGAGAAGGAGGTCTGGACCTGGGAGCATCTGGGTTCATTCCACCGCTCGCTGGTATAGACCACCACGGCCACCATCACAAAAAGGGCTGGGGACAAAGACAAGAGAGCTTGCTCTGCCCCTCTGGAGGAACTCACAGTTCCCAGGGCCCACGGCCAGCCTGGGGGGCTTACCTGCAACAAAAGCTGTGATGGACGAGACAAGCGGCCCACGGCCCGGGGCCGACAGCGAGGGGATGCAGGACAGGACCAGGAGGCCCACGGACACCAGGCCAATCAGGGCAGCCAGAATGCTGAAGGTCTGTGTCGCGTGGATGTAGCCTGCTCAGAGACAAGTCCTCTGAGGGCCTGTCCCCTCAGGCAGGTCCCCCCACAAGAAAGACCACTTCCCCTTACCTGCTACTGGGTCCTGATTCCCTTTTGGCCAGAGACCTGAGTGAGCTGAAGATGTGGGCCCTATGGCCACGAACCAGAAATCCGTGCTCAGAGCAACAAGGATAGATATCAGGCCCAGGGAGCCAGCCAGCAGGGCCAGGGACCGACAGGGCTCCATGAGGGTGAGCGCTGGCTTCTGGGTTCTGGAGGTTGAAGAGGCTGGTGATCCAGCTTCCTGGGTCTCTGAGAGAGGAGGAGGCTATGCACCCAGACTCCTGGGTCTCCTGAGCTCAAGAAAAAGAAGCCAGCAAGCAGTAGGGGTGGCTAGGGGGCCTGTGCTCCTTAAGACCAGGCTGGTTCTGTTTCACCCAGTTCAGCTCTTTGCAACCTGCTCTTGTCATACACCCCCCCTTCCTGCGTTGCACCGATAATGTCTCCCCTCCCCGAGATCCTGGTTCCCCTCGCAGCGTGTGGTGAGGAAGGGTGTCACATAATCAGTGGTTTGGTTGGTGTTTCAGAACATGCCTCTCTATCTCACATTCTCTACCTCCCTCCCTTGGAGCCCTCAGCACCAGAAGGGGCCTCCCGGAAGAGGTGAGAGAGAGGCTTGGGAGCACAGGGGTAGAGGTAGCAAATGAGACCAGGGTGTGAGTTAAATGGCAGGGGGGATGTGGCCAGAGGGGACAGTTGGGGATGCGTCATGTTTTCCTGTGGGTTCTGCAGTCTTCCGTTCTGGGGGAGGTGAGGGGCCACTCTAGGGTCTCCATAAAAGGAGGGGGCTGGAGGCCAGGATGCCAGGTCCTGAGGGAGGGAGGGGTGGTAGGAGGACACGTGGGGGGCTCAGACTCCTGGATCCTTCTTTGGAGCTTATGCTCAGGGCAGGCAAAAAGTGGAGAATCACAATTCTGAAAGTCTGTGGAAGGGAAGACACGCTCACATCCACATCCGATAAATGAGTTCACACGCAGCTCTGCTTTGAACGTGGCCAGCCAGCTTCAGGATCACCAGGATCATGGTACCTGGCGGGGGGGCCAGGTGCAGGGATGTCAGTGCAGGGCCCTTTGGTGCTCCAAGCATGAGCCTCCTCCTCCCATATCAGCATCACGTCCTGGGCAGCACCTCACCTATGAGCAGGTGGAAGGTGACGGTGCCACAGCTCAGGTGGAAGGCCCAGGCAAACTTGACCTCTATGAAACTGGAATGGCCCTGAAGAGGACCTCTGTTGTGAAGACAAATGAGCCAGCAGCCCAAGAACAGCTGGAGAAAGCGAGAACCAGTGACCCAGGAGGCCATGCATCTTCCTTCATTGGAGACTCCAGTTTGCAGGCCCCCATCCCTCACCCAGACCCTCACCAGTGAGGTAACTGGCCACTACTGAGAACATGATCATGAGGACAGGCTCCAAGAGGTGGAGCGAGGTCATCAGCTGCAGGGGCACCAGCGCAAAAAAAAATGGCTATGGACATGGCTCTGGCAAAGAACAGCCAGATAGGCTTCAGGAAGTCTGGGCTGTGGGTGTGTAGTGAGGGGAAAGTCAGAGCACAGAGCCCATCTGTGCTCTTGACCTTATTCCAAACCCAACCACATCCTTAACCCAATCCCTATTCTCCAACCCAACCCCATCCCAATTCCCAACCTAACCCCATTCTCATTTCCGAACCCAACTCTAAACTCAACCCCATGCATAATCCCAGCTCCAACTCAATTCCCCAGACCAACTCTAAACCCAATCCCATCTTCAATCCCAAACACAATTCATTTCTCCACCCTAGTTCCAATCCCTAATTTAACCCCATCCCTATCCTCCAACCTAACCCCATTCTTATTTGCAAACCTAACCCCAAAATAAACCCTAGCCCCAAACCCAAAGCCCAGCCTCATCCTGAGACTTAACCCTGACCTCATTCCCATCCCCACATCTGATCACATGTCCAATCCCAACTCCAGCTCCAGGCCCACACCCACTTCTTTCCTCATACTTCTCCCCAAACCTTATAACTCTTACCTCAACCCCACCCCATTTCATCTTCATCCCATTTTCAGGTTCAAGGCTGTAACCCTGTTTCTCATCTCCCTAAGTCCCACCACCACCACCACCACCACCACCACCATTGACCAAATGAAGGTCGACTTTGCCTGGCTTCTGGAAGGAATCTCTAAGCCGTTGGAATGCCCTGCCTGATCATTGTCTCTGTTTACCTGGAGTCCTTGGGCCACACTTATGCTACCAATGTGGTTTATGGGGGGCAGAGGGACTTGGGCTGCACTTTATCAGTTTGACCCCTGGAGAGGCTGGAGACTGAAAACTAAGATCAGCCATGTGGGTGCTCCATGCCTACAAAACTGACCTCCAATAAAAACCCTAGACTGGACAAGAAAAAAAAGATTAAAAAAAATATGAATAATAAAATGGCAATAAGTAATATCTATCAACAATCTCTTTAAATGTAAATGGATTAAATGCTCCAATCAAAAGACATAGGATGGCTGAATGGATAAGAAAATGAGACCCTTACATATGCTGCCTAAAGAGACCACACACAGACTGAAAGTAAAGGGATGGAAAAAGATATCTCAAGCAAACAAGCAAACAAACAAACAGAAAGCTGGGGTAGGTAGCAATAATTATGCCAGACAAAACAGACTTTAATACAAAGGCTGTAACAAGAGACAAAGAAAGACCCAGTAATTCCACTTCTGGATATTTATCTGAAGAAACCTAAAACACTACTTCAAGGGGACGTGTGCATCCATATGTGCATTGCAGCATTGTTTGCAATGGCCAAGATATGGAGGCAACCTGGTGTCCATCAATGGATGAATGGATAAAGAGGAGGTGGTACATGTACTTGTATACAATGGAACATTACTGAGCCATAAAATAAGAATCAAATCTTGCCATCTGCAACAACATAGATGGACCTAGATGGTACTGTGCTGAGTGGAGTAAGTCAGAGAAAGACAAATGCTATACGATTTCACTTATATGTGGAATCTAAAGAGCAAAATAAGTGAACAAGCAAAACAGAAACAGACACAGATACAGAGGACATTTTGAAAACCAGATGAGAGGGGGGTGAGGGGGATGGTGAAAAGGGGGAAGGGATTAAGATGTACAAATTGGTAGTCATGGGGATGTAAAATATAGCATAGGTAATATAGTCAATAATGTTGTAAATAACTGTATAATGTCAGATGGCTACTAGATTTATTGGGGTGATCACTTTGTAAGTTATATAAATGTCTAATCACTGTGTTATACACCTGAAACTAATATAATATTGTATGTCAACTATAACTGAAAAAAATATTTAAAAAAAGAAACCTTGTTCTGAAGTAAAAACAAACAAACCCTCAGGGTTTGGGTGAGCTTCTCAGGTTGGCAGTACTCTGTGGGTGTTATCACACATCATTGTTGGGGGAGGTGCTGTTCTTAGACTCCACTGGGGAGAGATAACTGGAAGCTCGTTCCTGGTTTCTCCTGGATGCTGAAACCGTATCCTTTCACTGTAATAAACTGTGACTGTGTGTAACAGTTTTCCTGAGCTCTGTGCGTCCTTCTAGCAACTCACTGAACCCTAAGGCAGTCTTGGGGACCCCTGAACTGCAGTGAGTGAGGCGGGATTAAGTCAGAGAGTTAGACAGGGCCGGAACCCGTGGCATTTTGTATGATCTTGATAGATGTTAGCTTTTCACCTGAGATGGGGGCCACTGGAGGGCTTAGGGCAGGAGTGACATGATTTTAATTTAAAAAACCCCTCTAGATGCTGCACAGAGAATGAACTGCAAAGGGGGACAGGGGAAAGGGCAAAGGCAGAGGCAGAGGTGGTTAGGAAGAAGTGACAATAAACTAGGTGATAGATGATGGTGGCTTGCCTCAGAGTGATAACTGGTTGAGCAAGATGGAGTTAAATTCTGAACGCATTTTAAAGGTAGCGCCAACACTATTGGCCGATGAATCAGATGTAGGATGTGACAAAAAGAAAGCCGAGGATGACCCCAACCTTTATGGCTTGAGCAGCTGGATAAAATTGGTGTTGTCATGGATTTCTTCGGAAAAATACCCAGAAGTGGAATTGCTGGGTCATAAGGAAGTTCTATTTTCACTTTTTTGAGGAACCTCCATGCTGTTTTCCATAGCGGCTGCACTGATTTGCAATCCCACCAACGGTGCTGTGTACGGTGTCAGGTGGGTACTAGACTAATGAGGGAGATCACTGCATAAATTATATAAATGTCTACCCACTATGCTGTACACCTGAAAGTAATATAAAGTAATATTAAATGTCAACTCTAACTGAAAAAAAAATAATTTTTAAAAATAAAAATAAATTTAAAAAATAATCTGTTGACACCTCACACCAAAAAATAAATAAATAAACAAAATAGAGTTGTTATTTACTAAGATGGGGGAGACCGTGGGAGGAGCAGATGTGGGGTGTGAGAGATATCAGGAACTGAGTGTCAGATATGTGAGGTTTGAGATACCTCTTCTCTTCAAGTGGAAATGTTGAGTAAGAAGGCAGAGATGTGAGTCAGGAGTTATAACATCATTATCATTGCTAGAGGAAGCCCCTGTAAATACTATTGGCATTAGCTTCAGTCAATATTTCTAAAGAGGCCTCAGTAAAGTATTATTAGACAAGGCCTCAATTATCATTATTATTATAAGTAGCCTCTATAAATATAGTATTACTGTTATTTGAGGAGGCCCCAATAAATATTATCTCTAGGGAGTAAGCCTCTATTAATGTAACAATTACTAGCATAGGCTGTGATAAATATTATTAGAACCAGCCTTGCTAAACAGTCTTATTATAATTTATGATTGGCATCAGTAAATCTCATGGCAGTCAGCATCAGTTTATTGAATGAACTAATGAATGAGTGAATGAAGAGAAAGTCAAAGTCATGAGTGGTGTGTGAAGAGGCAGGTGCAGGAGGTGAAGGCTCAGGGTTCTGGTGTTTCTAGTTGTAGGGGCCATCAGGGAGGGGAGAGGCGGTTGGGAGAGCCAACTGGAAATGGGGCGAGGCTGTGGGCTGGGAAGTTTTTTTTTCACGGAGCTTTTCACTTATCCTATTATCCTACTGTAATACTGTGATTTACAATAAAAAATATATATATTTGGTCTGAGTCCTGATTGTGACAGCTCCTAAAACCCCTGGAATTTCTTCAGTGATGAGAGCCATAGTCTTTTGCTATGTTAATGAGATGACTTTTGAATCCCACCTAAGGATGGGGAATGGTTGCTAGTGGAGCCAACCATGTGATTAGAGGGCTGGAAGTTTCAGTCTCAGCCCCTGACCTCAGGGAGGAGAGAAAAGCTAGAGGCTGAGTTCAATCACCAATGACCAAGGATTGAATCACTCACACCTATGTAATGAAACCTCCATAATAACCCAAAAGGAGAGGGTTCGGGGAGCTTCCAGGTGAGTGAGTATTTGGGGATTTGGGGAGAATGGTGACCTTGGAGAGGCCGTGGTAGTAGCTTCTTTGCACCCTTTCCAACTACCTGGCCCTGTGCAAAGATCTTCCATCTTACTGTTGTATATCCTTTTATAATGAACCAGTGCTCCAGTGAGTAAAATGTTTCTCAGAGTTCTGTGAGCCACTCCGTGAGCAAATTAACGGAACCTGAGGAGGAGTTTGTGAGAACCACGGATCTACACATGGTTTGTCAGAAGCAGAGGTGATAACCTGGACCAGCAATTTGCATCGGAAGCAGGGGGCCGTCTTGTAGGACTGAGCCCTTAACATGTGGTGTCTGATGCAATCTCCAGGTAGATAATATCAGAATTGAGTTAATTGCTTGGTAGTGTAGGGAAAAAAATACACATAGGACTTGGTGTCAGAATTGGACCTACGCATCACTTTCCCAGAAGTTGAACTGTCCTCTGGGTGGGGGCTGGGTGATTTATCTCTGTCCCTATGCCTACAGAAATAACAGATTGAGCCACCACAACAACCCCCTCCACCCCACCCCATCCACCACACTCACCCCAACCCCTCAGGGTCACACTATAATAGTTTCACATCAGTTTTATTAGACTTCAAAAAATCATTCTAATGGATATTCCATTTCTCAAACACCCCTCCCCTCCCAACAGGTGGGGCCTTGAGTCTTCTCAACTCCCTCCCACCAAACCCCATTCTCCCTTCTTCCCCCACTGGACTCGGGATTCAGGAGCCCCCACCCAGAGTCCAGGACTGAGCCCCCTCATGCCCCCAGGAGCCAGGGTTTCAGGCCTCTAGACTCTACCCCTCCTCTTCTCCCCTGCTTCCTCTCCCTCGTTTTAACTTCCAGGAGAAGTTAGTTGGTGGATACATTTGGGCTCAGCGGGGCGTGGACGGGCGGCGACATTCATGCATCCGGTAGGCACACATGTAGAAAATTCCTGTGCGAGAAAAGATCCCACTGGACGTCCCCCCAAGCTCCCGCCCCAGCACTTTCTTTCTCTCTGGGTGTCCGCAGGGCCTGGAGTCTGCCTTCTGGCTCGGTGCTGGGGGACCGTGTGGGACACCTATCATCTCCCCCTCTGAAGTGTTGCCCGCTCTGCCCCAGACACCGCCCTTCCCACCATCAAGCCCCTGTACCTGCGAAGAAGGTCATGAGCAAGGCCACCCAGCCCAGGATGTAAGACCAGGAAAAGCGCCAGTCCCCAAAGCGGCGACCCAGGAAGCTGACAGTGACTCCAGTGTAAATGGCCAAGGCCAGCAGGATGAAAAAGGCTGGGGAGAAGAGGGTGTGTGGGTGGGAGTAAGGGTGGGGGTTGGGTGTGGAGATGGGGTGGGCCTGAGATTGAGGCAAGGGGTGAGGTGGAGTGGGTGGAGGTGGGAATAAGGGTGAGGACATTGAGTTGAAAGTGCAAGTAAAGATGGACAGGGAGTGGGGATGGGGTAGGGACGGGCAGGATCCGACTGGTCTTTGTCTCTGGTTCCTGGGAGGTTGGCGCTAAATCCTTGTAATTTCCCGAGAGTGTCTTTGCTATTCTGGGGCCTCTGGTTTCACACCTGTTGTTGAGCTGAGATGACTCAGAATGGTAGCTGGTCACCAGAAAGACCAACAACGGAATAGAGAGTTGAGCTTCGTGCCAGCAGGTATCAGCCCCTCTGGGGAGGGGAGTGTGACTGGAGACTTGAGTGCAGTCCCCTGGTCAATGATTCAATATGAAGCTCCAGTAAAAACTCTGGATGATGGAACGCACTGAAGCATCCTGGACATGCTGGGAGGGTGACAGAGCCTCTCAGGCTTCTCCCTCTCCATCCGTTTATTTGGCTAGTCTTGAGTTGATCCTTCATAATAAAACTGGGATTATCGGTATAGTGCTTTCCTGAGTTCTGTGAGTTGTCCTAGCAAATTTTCAAACCTGAGTGGGTCCTGGGAACCCTCGAATTTGTAGCCCGTTGGCCAAAAGTGCAGGTGGCCTGGGGACTCTACTTGCAGCTGAAGTAGGGGCAGGTTTTTTGGGAATCATTCCCTTACACCTGTGGGATCTGATGCTGGCTCCGGGAGGTAATGCCAGAACTGAACTGCAGTGTTGGAATAGGTGGAATTAGAAATAGTCTTGGAGGTGGTATTGGGCGTGGGGTTGGCATTAGGGTGGGAATAAAGCTGAGAGTGAGGAGGAGTCAGAGATAAGAGTGGTGTTGGAAGTGGGGCTGGATTGGGCTTAGAGATTGGCAGGGAGTAGGGAGAGAGTTAGGGAAAGAGTGGGTCTACTCACTGGAGGCAAAAAACATGATGCTAGCAGAGAAGGGCCTGGAGACACGGGTGAAGGTGGGCTGCTGAGTGAAGGCCAGGATGCCCATGATGATGCCAGAGGTGGCACACAGGGAGGACAGGATCATGAAGGCACGGGTGGCATTCCAGTACGCTGTGAGAGCACCCCATAGTCACTCCCATGCCTCCGCTGCCCTCAGTGCTGAAGGCTGCTACCTCTGAGGGCGGGAATGCCTTGCCACTCTCCATGTCCCTGACCCAGTTCCTCCCTCCCCCCTCTGCAAATGCCCTCCTCATCACCTGGCAAACTCCTATTCATCCTCCAAAGCCCAACTCCCAACTCCCCTTTTCCAGAAAACATCCCTTTGCCCCTCATTCCCTGCTCTATGTTGTGATTCTTTGTCTGCCTCCCCCTCTAGCCTGATTGCTCCCTGAGGACAGGAACTGGGTTGATTCTATGTCACGGATACCTCCAGCACAGGTTTGCTCTGCACATGGGCTTAGAGAAATATTTGTTGGATGAATGAATGAATGCTGATTCCCCGTATTTTCCTGCTAATCATTCTTTATCCTCTCTCCCATTGCTCTGTTTCATTTCCTTTATACCACTTGCCCATATCTGAAAATGTCCTATTTATTTATTCATTTTAAACTTGTTTTTGATGTCTGTCTCTCCCCACTGGAGTCTCATCTCTGTGAGGACAAGGCCTTGCTTTCCCATTCACTGCTATATCCCAGTACCTAGTGCCTAGCACATAATAGCTGCTCAATAAACATGTTGAATGAATAGATGTTGAGCACTGGGGATCAGTCTTCTCTCTTTCTATTAAATATATATTGTGTGATATAGATATAGTATATTACATAATAGATATTATATATATACTATACATATATAATATGTAATATACATATACATGTATATAATATAGATTGTAAGAGCCCTATACAGGAAGTACTACTCATCCCCATTTTTATAATATATAGTAATATATACATATATGCACATATGTATATGTGTGTGTGTGTATTTGTGTGTGTGTGTGTTTGTAGTAAATGGCCTGGCACATAGCAAGTAATAAAAAAAATACCTCATTCAGTATTTAGCAAATTTAGGCTCCATCTTGCTTCTGTATCCCCCAGTAGCTACATAGTAAATATTTAGAAAATGCTATTCCAGCAACCCCAGTCCCACCCACCCTAACCTGACTTCTATTTTGTGCCAAGAGATGTCACCTCTCCCTACTTAATCCCTCAATCAGTACATCCTGTCACTGTACTAGGAAGAAATCCCAGCTCTGCCCCTTCCATGCTGAGGGACCTTGGGTTGGTCCTTTTCTCTCTCTGAGTCACAGGGTTCTCCATCTGCAAAACAGGTGGCCCTTCAGCTGTGAGGTTCTGCCCTGCAGGGCTCTGACCAAGCACAGCCCAGGCCCTGCCCCAGAGCCTCACCGATGCTCTCCGTCTGCAGGTAGCACTTGCTACCCAGGCAATACCGCCATAAGCCCTGGTGGGCAAAGGACCCTGACAGCCGGTACTGCATCCAGTGGTCTGTGGCTGTGGCCACCACCAGGAGAATGGTCCCCACCCAGGCACAGAAGAGGCCGCCACTCATGAAGCTGTACATGGTGATCTGTGGGGAAGGAAAGAGATGGGGTCAGGAGCTGGACGCCTGGGTCCTGCAGGAGGAAGGGGCTCGGGGCCTGGGCTCCTGGGGCCTGGGGGAGGAGGGGCTGAGGGTCTGGAGTCCTAAGTCTGAGAGAAGAGGGATTGAAGCCCTAGACCCTTAGGTCCTGGAGGAGAAAGGGGCTGGGAGCCTGGACTTCCAGGTCCTAGCTCAGGAGGTGGGCTGGGCGCTGGGACACCAAGTCCTTTAGAAGATAGGGACTGGGCACCTGGACTCCCAAGTCCTAGGTGGGGAGGAGGCTAGGAGCTGGGACCCCATCATTTCCCTGGGATAGAAAGGAGCTGGATGACTGCAGGCCTAAGTCTTGGGGGAGGAAGGGGTGACAGGACCCATGCCTGGTCCCTACCTGAATGGCAGAGCCTGTCCTGAGCCCTCCGTTTGCCTCGGCCCCTCTGTGCAGACTGAGCCGAGCCAGCTTGCTGGCCTCTTTGCTCCCTGGGTCCCCCAAATCCCTTAAGCCTCCCCACACAATGGCCCCAGGGCCCAGCAGCTTCCAGCAGGCAGAAGTGCAGCGGTGGCAGAGGCCCCAAATGGAATTTGCTGAAGCAGGGATCCAGGCGCTCTCTCCCTGCAGCCCCTGACCCTACTGGCCTCTCTCTGTGGCCATCCCGACCACCCTTCCACCCTTTCACAGGCCTCACTCACAGCACCCACTGGGTCGGTCTGAGCTGCGTAAGCACACACACACACACACACACACACACACACACAAGACATAAGAACAGCCATCCATTTATTGCTCAATCAGGGCAGGAAACGGCGTGGTGTCTGGATATATTCGGCCTGTGGGGTTCTTTGCGGGGGGTGGGGGGTCACAGGGCATGCAGAGGCTGGGACTGAAACATGAAAGCGGTTGAGGACGCGATGGGGCTGGCCGGGGTGAAAGTTGGCTGGGTTTGGGACCGCGTTTGGGTGAAGGGTCAGGATTGGGTTGGCCTGAGGCAGGTGGGGAGTGAGGATGAAGCAGCTAGGAATGAGGTGGGCTAAGGTGGAGACGGCAATGAACGGTATTGGGAATACGGCACTGAGAGCGGGGGGGTGGGATGAGGGCTGCCCAGGCACGTGGGAATGGCTGTGGGGTTAAGAATGGGGTCGGGATGGGGTTGGAGGAGCCCCTGGGGTTGAGAACGAGGAGAGGGTTGTCCGCTATAGCTGGGGTCAGAATGGGGAGAGTCATAGGGTGTGAGGTTTAAGGCTTTCTCTGGCTTGGAATCCTAAATCAGGTCCAGATTTCGCCAGCGGACTCAGGCCCCACTCCTAAAGCCATGGTTTTGGGGGAAGAAGGATGGGAGCTGGGTGCTTCTTAGGGTATTTCTGACAGGACTGACATTGCTCTCGGCTCCAGGAAAACCCCGAACCCATCCTCCCCCAGAGTCCTAGTATTCAGCATCCCAGTCCTCAGCCACAGGGGACGGGTCCAGAGGTGGCTCCGGACCTTGCACGTCCTTCTTCCCATCCTGGGCAGGCGTTGGTAGGGGTGATGGCGGTGTCTTCAGCAGGGTTCTGGGGCCAGCCCCAGAGTCCCCTGACCAGCCCTTCTCTGGCTGCTCAGCCCTCCCAGGTCCCCATGGCCTCTGGCCCCGGCCCCGGCCCCGGCCCCGGCCTGGCCTGCGTGGGACTTCCCAGCCCCCACGTCCCCTGGATGGCCTCTTGGTGGTGCCCGGGTGGGTGCAGCTTGACTGAGGGTTGCAGGGGCAGGAGGCCAAGGACTGTTGAAGGGTGTATGCCCCCAGCAGGGCACTGTGCAGAAGGTAGGAGAGGGCGTCCAGACGGATGGGGACGGTGACAGAGGCCAGGCTCTCAGGGAGCCCCAGGTGGGCTGGATCTGGGGTGCCCAAGAGAGAAGGTGACAGGGCTGGGAAAGGCAGAGGGGGCCACGATGCAGTCCCAGGTGATGGCAGGGACAGGCTGTTCCTAGAATGACAAGAGAATCAAGTCAGCAGTTCTCATCATCTGCTTATATCTTTCCTAGTACAGCCTGGCTGCCTCTGTGCTTCTCCCCGAGTCCATTTCTCTCCGTCCTGCATTCTGCGTCCCCATCTTCTGCCCTCTCACCCTTCTCCCCACCCGTCTCCTTCCACATGCCTGTTTCTTCCCATCTCTCTTTACAGAGAGACAGGCAGCTCTGCCAAAACTTCAGCATCAGATGGAACTCCGTTCCAATTCCAGGCTGCCTCGCTTGCTCATGGTGTGTCTGTGGCCAAATCACTTTCCCACTCTGAGCCTTAATTTTTCATACCAAAAGATGGCCTTTGATGGTATCAAAGGTGCCTATTAAAGGGCTGGGGCTGGGAAGCGTTCAAGAAATGGAGACAATTACTATTATTTCTCCAGCCCTACCACTGTTCCTCGCATCTTCCATTCTCCTGGTTCTTGAAATTTCTCTGTCCCTCGAATATCTGTTCTAGCTCTCTGTCTAGTTCTAAGTATCTCGCTCAACTCTGTCACCAAGATCCCCTAAGATTCTGTCTATATAATGATAACTGAGACTTTTTTTTTCCGCTGATATTTTTCTGGCTTTGTCCACCACTCTCTGATTTTCTCTGTCCCCTCCTTTCTCTGGGTCTCTGTCCTCCGCGCAGGAGGTTGTGAGTCTCTCACCCCTCAGGCCCAGTGTCTTCCTTTTGCTGTTCCATCTTCACAGGGCTCTCTCAAGTCTCTTCTAGCACGTTCCACCGATTTCTTCAAGGCCCAGGGAGGCGGAAGGGGTCGGAAAGAAAGTGGGCGGGTCTTTGGCAGAAATGGGGCGTGGCCTGTAGAGCGTGAGTCGCCGTGTTAAAGAGTGGCAGGTGGGTTCGTGGGAGCTAGTTCCACAACCCCACTCAGCTCAGGACACAGCGCCCACCTCCCCCATACCTAGAAGTCTGGGCCCCCAGCTCCTCCTCCCTCAGACTCAGGAGTCAGGACCCCCAGTCCCTCCTCTCTCTCCATAGGTATTCCTGTTTTCTGGGGGCCTGATGGTGTTCTTTAGGACTAAAGGGATATTTAGACAGGGAAATCTGGATGTCTGAACCCTCCCAAGGGTAGAGAGGTTAGTAGATGAGCTGGGAATCTTAGGGGTTGGATTCCATTATAAGCTCTATCTCTGACTTACTCTGTGACCTTAAGTCTATGCTTCGTTTTCCCCATCTGAGAAATGGGGCTACTATTACCTTCCAGGTTCTTGGGAGGTTTAAAGGATACCACGTGTGTAAAGTCGTCAACACAGAATCTGAACTGTAATTAGTCTCAACAAATGAGAGTCACTTATCGTTATTGCTGATGGCATTTTATTAAGAAGCAATAGTCATTCTTATATCCATTCATTTAAGAAATACACATTCAGTGTCTGTCCTGTGCTAGGCTGGGCACTGGGGATGTAACTCAGGACAAGATAGATGTAGACCCTACTCCTATGGAATTTACATGTGGCAGAAAGAGACAGATAAGACACAAACAATACATTTCCTATAAGTGCTGTGAAGATGTGAAGTCAGGGCTAAAGGGATATAGAGGCACAGGGGCAGTTGTCTTAGATAAGGTGGTTATGGAAGGATCGGAAGACCTGGAACTTGAGTCTTCCCAGCGAAGGGAACAGCAAATGCGAAGGTTTGAGGGTGGAATTAATTCAGTGTTTGAGGCATTGGGCAGAATGAGCTAGGAAGAGAGGAATAGATCTTTTTTTTTTTTTAATAAATTGTTTATTTTCAAATTCTTGTAAACGTTTAAAATTCTTGAAAAGTTACTAAGTACAGAGTTACCATATACTCCTCACCGAGCTTCCTTAATGTTATCTTCTTACATTGTGGAGCATTTGTCACAAGTAAGAAACCAACATGACTGTTAACTAACTAAACTCCAGGCTGTATTTGGATTTTGCCAATATTTACACTCATGGTGTTTGGTTTTTTTTTGCCTTCTGTTCCAGAATCCAGGGAAGAATACCATTCAGTCATGAGATCTCCTTTGTCTTCTCCGGTCTGGGGCAGTTTCTGTCTTTCCTTGTTTTTCACAACCTTGATGTTCTTGAGAAATATTAACTAGTCAGCTATTTTATAAAATAGAGACCTGTTTCAATTCATAATTCTAACTCATTTAATCCTCATTTCAAAGAGGATCAAATTGTGCCTCAGAGAGGTTAAGTTGACTCAGGGCACAACTGAAATTTGAACCCCGGGCAGCCTGGCTCCAGAGTCTGTGCTTTTAAGGGGGACACAAGTAGAAGCCAGATTGCAGGGGACCTTGTAGGCCACAGTAAAGACTTTGGAAGCTTTTTCTTTTTTAACTTCTAAAACATTGAGATGACTTTGAACATTTGAAAGCAGAGATGTGACATAATTTGATTTATGTTTTATGAAGAGCACTGTGTCGGCAGTTTGGAGAATGGATTGCAGTGGAAAGCAAGAGTGGACACATGGGAGCCCAGGGAGGAAGCTGCTATGGTCCAGGCAAGGGGTGGTAGTGACACCAAAGAAAGTGGGATTAGTAGGGATGGGAATGAATTTCAGATGGACAGCTGACCCTTGAACAACATGGGTTTGAACTGCAAGCATTCGCTTATATGCAGATTTTTTTCAATAAATACATACAGCCCATAAATGCATTTTCTCTTCCATATGATTTTCTTAATAACCTTTTCTTTTTTCTGGCTCACTTTACTGTAAGAATACAGTATATAATACATATAACATGCAATGTATGTGTCAATCTACTGTTTGTGTTTTCCGAAAGGCTTCTGGTCAACAGTTTGGATCCAACTGCGCAGGGATCCAAACCCTAACACCCACAGTGTTCAAGAGTCAACTGTATTTTGGAGGAAGAACTATCAGGACTTGCTGAAAGGCTGCTGGGGGTGGGTAATGAGGAAATACTGATGCAAAGTTTTCAACCTGGGCAGTCCTTTTGAACATGAATCTTCTTTTGAGAGGTTTACAACAACATCCCATTTTAAGGATGAGAAATCCCAGATACTAGCTTTCACTTTCTGAGTTCTCTTGAATCCAGGCCCTTTGCTGGATGATGCTGGTGACACCAAAATGATGCAAAGCTAGTACCTGCCCTCCAAGGGCTCTCAGTCTTGAGGGGTGGGGGGGCAGACACAGAGATGGACAGTAACATTCCAGGGTAATCATGTAACTAGAGGCCCAAATAAGTCTGGGGCTCCTGCTGCCTGCACTGCTCAGCCACTAGATCGACACAGGAGTTGGGTCACAGAAAAAGCATTTATTATCAGAGCACCGGTGGTCTGAGAAGGCAGCTGGTTAACACCTCCAAAAACTGCCTTAACATTCTCAGACCGGCTGGGGGTTTTAAGGAAAAATCAGGGCACTCTCCCAGAGGCTGCAAGATGGTGCCAGAAGTCTGTTCTCCTTTCATGATGCCCTCCTCTGCCATCATATCTGTTGTGGCACCAGTATCCCGGAACAGTGGAAGAGAAACCTAGGGAAAATGTTAAGCGATGGTTTGTGATTAGCAACCATCTACAAGGTGATCTTCTATGATAAGGAGCTGGAATGGAACCCAGACAGGGCATCCCGGAGGCATTCTGAGAACAAGGGGGCCCAGCTGGGCCCTGCTTCAATCAGAGCCAGGACACAAGGAGGAACAGGAGCAGTGAGTGCCCTAACCTGGGAAAACACTGCTGCCTGCAGGCAAGGGGTGGAGCGTGTGGTCAGGGAGGAGTTTCTAGAGGAGGTGGCCCAGTGAGCAAAGGCCAGGTCACTGGAATCTAAAGATTTTTATCAAGAAAGCAAACTTTCCTTTCCTGGCGACTGTGATTAGGATCTGGGTCCCTAGATTTTTAGTCTGGGTCTATGTGTCCCAGCTTATGTCCAGATAGGGTTTGGAAAATGAGGGTTTGAATCCCTGCTCCGCTATTTACCAGTGCAAGCTGCTGAAATGTTTTGAGTCTCCGTTTCTTGACGAGACAGCGCTGACTGCTCGATTACGGCGTGATGGGAATGCTCCTTGTTTTGTTGTGTTATTGTTTCTCCTGTTTCTGCGATGAAGGTCCGACCTCCTCATTTACCACGTACCTGGCCCTTTAAGGACCCCCTCCCACGCCAGGAGGGCGGAGGAGGGATCTTGCGTCTCTAAGGAAATGCCTTTTTTATTCAGCTTCCAAAATTGACAGGCAAGTACTGAAAAGTGACCAATCAACTGCTGCGGCGGGGGGGAGGTGAAGCGGGATTGCTCTGAGCCCCGCCCAGTCCTTGATAGTTAGCGAAGCGCGAGACTTCATTCGCGGCTCTGATTGGTGGATGAGCTTCCGTTTGTAACTGACATTTTTTTGTTCCGGCCTCTCTCGGTGTGGTTGCCCGTGCTCGATAAGGGTGGCGTCGGCTGCGTCCGGGGAGACCCAGCCCAGACCTAGAGATCCGAGCGAAGCTGGGAGATGACAAGGGGCCCTGGGCTGAGAGGGAAATCCCGCCTGGGGGTCTTCTTGCCCACCAGTGAGTCCCATTGCCCCATCCCCGCCTTAAAACCCTTCCTTTCCCTGCCTCCCCCCGCCCCCCAACACACACAGACACACGCCTCAGACCATCGCCCCCTCAACACACACACACATGCCTATGCCTCAGACCATCAGAGTCCAAAGATTCGACCCACAGGGCTCACGGATTCCCACAAGTCCCCGTCCCGGAGACTCTGGGGGCCCTGCTGTCTCCCTTGAGCTGTACCCTTCCCTGACCTCGCCTTATGCACCTCATCTTTTGGCTGTTCCTGATATGAAGACTTTATAATAAAACTGTAATCATATGTATAGCGCTTTCCTGATGTGAGTCATTGTAGTGAATTACTGAACATGAGGTCATGGAAACCCCTGAATTTGTAGTTGGTCAGAAGTGTTGGTGGCCTGCGATCTCTGAGCTCGTGGCTGGTGGCTGAAGTGGGAACGGAGGTAGTGCTGCCCAAGTTCCACAGTACAGCGTGGTTAGGATGTATGAGTCAAGTGGATACCAAGGAGATTAGTTGGGCCTCAGCCGTCTAGAAGACATCTTACCCAAAAGGGCAACGAGAGGCCATGTGGCATCTGCTAGTGGTTGAATTGGAGGTGTCGGCGAAATAATAGAAAACGTATATATTGGTCTTGGCCACAGGTTCCTGGCACAGAGCTCCTGAAACCCTTGGAATCTCCTGAGTGAGAGGAATGTCTTTTGTTCTAATGAGGTGACTGGGTGATCTCCTGGATGGGGGCTGGTCACCAAAATGACCAAGCCATGATTAGAAGCTTGGACCTTTCTGTCCTCCAGGAAAGGGAGAGGGGCTGGAAATGGAGTTAATGCCTATGTGATGAGGCCTCCTTAAAAATCCCCAAAATATGAAGTTTGGGGAGCTTCCGGATTAGTGAACTCATGAAGGTGCTGGGAGGGAGATGCATGTGGTGAGAGCACGGAAGTTCTGCACCCTTTCCCCATACCTTGCCCTATGCATCGCTTCCATCTGGCGGTTCCTGAATTATATCCTCTTATAATAATCCAGTAAGTGTAAGTAAGGGTTTTCTTGAATTCTGTTAGCCATTCTAGCAAATTATTGAACCCGAGGAAGTTGTGTTACCAGAGAGCAGGTCCTTCTTGGCGCTTTGTCCAGGCTCTTGGCTTCTCCAACAAAAAAACTGAATGAGACAGAGGTAAAGTGGTGAAAGAGAAGTTTATTAGAAGAGATAGTATGCGCCAAAGAAATAGGAGCAGGCCCAAGCA